TCGTATGGCGGAACACGTGTTGCGTTTTTGTTGAACTGTTTAGTGAAAATCTCATAAGGAAGCGTTTTTTGAATACGTTTATTATGAATTTTCATCAAGAATCGGCCAAATCCATCATATATCGCTGATTTTTGTCTTGTTCTTCGAATTAACGGAATTGATGATGATAGTTTTTATTTGAAAGAGATTAAGTTAGGTTAGGTCTGAAGTGAGTGGGTCTATCGAACCCTCCCACCGTCAAATAAACCCAGCTTCTTAACGAAGCCGATTAGTTTGTATGTTGAGTAGTTGTTCAGGTCACATGTATTGACGTTTTCAATTCGATAGCTTCCGTAATATCAGTTACGATTTTTGATATCTCGTTCATCTGAGACATTTACCAATTGTCAGTTCTCTGCGAATTACTGTGTATTGAAGTATATATTTTGACCGGACTACAACGCCTGTTGTTTCTGATAGAAAACGGGTATCGGTCGGGAAGAAGTGAGATAGAAGGGGAAAAAGCAAAGAGAGAAGAAAACTGTGCGATACACCGCCATGGTTGGTGTTTGCAGGAATTGGCACAGAGTAAATTGGGTTTATGCTAATGTACGTGGATGTTCACTTCTCTGGGGGGTATATACATCATTCCTTGATCGTGTTACACTTTTGATCAACGGAGAACGGCCGAATGAATTTCAATTGCCGGCATTTGCATGACTTGAATGGATGGTGATATTATTGAAAACGATAATACTGCAAATCAATTGTTTGACATACGAACTCGAAAGTGAGGAGCGGTGACATTTTCTTCTGCAATTGACAACTATCTTTCAATTCAGTTTCGATTTCAATTCGTGAAAAAATGAATCGTTAATTGATGAAAATTAATAATATTGAAAAAAGGGTTGGTTGGGTAACAGAATCAAATTTTTCTCAAAAAAAAAATTGTATCTTCCCAGCGTTTCGAATTCGATCAAATTCTTCTTCAGGGCTCTGTAACAGTGAATTTTCATAAATATACCTTCCACAAAACTCATACGATTATTATCCTTTCAATTCCACAAGAAATAACGAGTTCGTAATTAGATTACTCACCAAAAAGTAGTTTTTTCGTGTTGATAATAATATATTTTTTAAAACCATTAGACATATTAACATACATATTCAAAAATATAAATAAAAAACATTACAACAACAAATTTTCGAAATAACACAAGGTGGTGTCTGTTTCTTAATCAATGGCAGAAAGAACAAGAATGAAAAAAATGTGAATTATTCAGGTATTCTACGTATAAAATTGAAATATGCAGTATTGAGGCCATCGACATCTCTTCAAGTGTTAACACTATCGCATTTGAGGATATGTATCATTTCGCTCAATAGTCTTTGGATAAATATGGTTGAACATCTAGAATAGTTGGATGATCAAAATAAAAAATGTGTCCATATAATTTTTTATGTTCAACGAGAGCTGTGGGGTTTTTTTATTCAGTTTCTTAGAGTCCCCCTCATGTGTTCTTAAACTCGTGTTTTAAGATACCGTCCGATTTGACCGGTTTGTGACAGCTTCCACAGTTCAGTTTGCACACAATATTGGATTGTATTTCTTGTGGTAATTTAGTTTTTAGTTTAGAGAAGAAATGCTTCCCAACTGTATTTTCATTTGAAAAAGCCACTTTGATTCGTTTGGTACTGAGTATCATTCCAAGTTTGAGAAATAAATTTTCTACAGATGGAATTTTGTGATTTTTGGGTTTCACTCCTCTATTTTGGGAGGAGAAACTTCTTTTTTAATTATTTTTCTAATAAAGGCTACAGGAAATTCATTCTTCACTAGGTTATTCTCAATCAGTTGGAGATTTTTGTTGTGTAATTTGAAATTGGAAATGGAAATTGCTCTTGGTTGATACATATCCTCAAATGCGATAGTGTTAACACAAGAAGAGATGTCGATGGCCTTAAAGTGTGTTTTTTAATTTTTCAAACTATACTTATTGATTTGAAAATGAGGACATATCGACTGAAGTATTTGTGTAAACTTCTGAAGTTTGATGAGTTCTGACAACCAGTTTTCATTAAATAAAATTTTTCAATGGAATCATGACCATCTCAGATGAAGTATTTTTTTTTTGATACCTGTGGTTTCAGAAGATCAACTCATAACAAATTATACATCAGTGGAATCAGAATGAGAAGCACTCTTTTTTGTACAAAAAACCAATATCACGCCCATAATACAAATAAAAGTTGATGATGATTGCCAGAAGACGAAACGTCGGATAATAAATGTCAACATTGAAACGTGTAGCTGAAAAAAGTGTCATTGAAAACTTGTTTTTGGTTTTGAGTTGTGTTATTAAATAACGCTAGAAAAAAATAAAAAACGAAAATTCCGATTTTTTGTTTTTTTCCGGATATTTCCGGAAATACTCGAAATTTTTCATGTTCCGAAACAGTTTTTTGATAAGCACAAAAACGCAACTCTGTCCCAATCTCCTGTAGTTTAGGAGATCTAATGGTAATTTGAATTATCTGTATGCCTTATGGTGATACACACTGAATTACTTCATACGTGTCATCATACAGAATTCGATATTTCACAAAGTAATGTAGAAGGACGAGTTAGTCATGTCATTCATAAAAAGTCCTGCATTCAAAAGAGAAAATATCATGTAACAGTCGAGTAAATCAGAGGATTTTTTCGAAAAATATAATCACTTTTTCATATTAACACAGTAATTGAACTTTCTGTGCCTTTTTGTGAGAACTGTTGTAAGCAAAGCTGTAAATAAACTCGCCACACTTCCATCTGACCACTCGATTCGGAAAACAATGAATATCGATTCCAAACCCAGCGATACATCACACTGACCACCCCTAAAATTCCACCCCGACAAATAATCACGTGTCGGGTGTCAAATCTTCCTCTCCCTCGTATCCAGATTGATAGCCACAACTCCGCAACTCCTATCCATAATGTATTTTTATTGTTGTAGTAGAGGCGATCGCTCATATTTACGACCGTTCAACTAACAGAGTGTTTAGTCCGGTTGTGCCCGGATTTAGGTCATATTATAGTCAAAGGATGGTCTCCCGGGGGCAGTTTATTATTGGTCTCTGCCTCTGCCTTGTATACGCTTTGGTCAACACTATCTACAGAAGGGTGGGAGAGCTCGAGGTGGAAAAGATAGTTTATGGGGTAGGTTCCGTGGCGGTTTTAAATAATATCTTATCTGGTTTGGAGGAACGTGAAATAACAGTTTCGGACTACGTATTTTTCGGTTTTGAAATTGTTGTAACTTTAATTCAAAATCATAGTCTGTTATCACCGGTCGCTGATAGGCTGCTCAAGTTGATTCGGTAAGGATGTGAGTGAATTATTTTGAACACTATGTCTAGTTTATGTATGCAAAATTCCATCAGTTGGATATTCTGACATTTATGAAATGCATATAACTCACACTTAGTTTTTCATTGTCGATATCTAACGTAGATATACAGCATTCAAGGATTATGCATGTACAATGAATTACTAAATATTCCTTTCAATATTTCAGAGCCTATGATGTCTTATCCAGAGATTTTTGCAAATTACTTTCCTCTATTTCAATTCAATCAACTGTAGAATGAAAAGTCCCGATAGTTGCTCATTGTGATAGTTATTAATGATTCTTGTGGTGTGACAAAAAAGTAAACAGACATGTATCTTCTTTCTGTTTTATACACTCCAATTTTACAAAAAATATTTAGAAACTACAGTAGAAGTCCATTAGTACGGCATACAATAGTCCGAAATGCCCGATAGTCCGGCATCGCTCCGGAAAATTGTAAAAATTGTGCCTTGTTAACAGCCGTCTATGCTATTGCACCGTCTTGAAACCAGGTAAAAAATACAACACTCCAAAAATGCTGGAGAAAACTCTGGCCAGCTGCAAACCCTGCATCTGACCTGACTCTATAGACTGATGAGGAAAACAACCATCAAGACGCTCTGAACAAACTTTTGGATATCGTTAGAAGTGCTGACAATCCCTTGAAAAACCTGCCTGTAGATAAGGTTGAGGAGTGGCTTCTTATCGACGAGAATAAGCCTGTTGAACAAGAACTAACCGATGAGGACATTATCAACACTGTAGTAAACCATCACCCCACTCAAAATATTGAAGAAAGTGACTCAGATGTCGAAACGGAAGAAAAAAGGAAAAAAACAGCTGGGCAAAAGCTGCAGAATCACTAAATGAGTTTATCTCTTTTCGTGAGGCTAGTAGGTAGGTAGGTCTGAAGTGAGTGGGTCTATTCGACCCTCCACGACAACCCACAAGGGTTTATTGTGGCTCACACCTATTCACACTCGGCCAAATAAACCCAGCTTCTTGACGAAGCCAATTAGTTTGTATGGTGAGTGGTATTTCAGGTCAGATGGTGAGAGTACGGATCTGTCGGACTCAAAGAACCTGATTCAGTCCCCAGCGGGGCAGGAACAAAGTATATGCTCTGCATATTTCAATATTTTATTATATTTTATATTTATTTTTATTGTAATTGTACTTCTTTTATTCAATCTTTTGTATATTACCAGTTTTCATCTTTACACCATGAGTTATATTTATAATGGAGAAAAAAAAATCCATTATGATTTATTACCACGTAGTAACGGCTACATCTATCAATTCAGTTATTTTTATATTCATACTTTCAAATCTTTGTCAATGAGATGCAAAATCTGACAATAAAAAATTAAAATTATATTTGATTTGATACCTATTATCCAGAAAAGTAGATTATTTTGATATAATTTTTCTGAATAGAAATCGCGCCCTATTTCTGTCCGATACATCTGTGAACAAATATAACTTCTACCGCCAAATCAGTGTCAGATATCCGTTCGTATACGCACTAGGGAGAATTCAATTTCCTCCAAACTCTTCCATGTAGAAAAAACCTATTGTGTGCCGTTCGTCAAAAACCATCCTGAGCAGACACTAATTCGATTATCAATTTGGATACCAAAGCAAGCGATGTTATCGGACGTGATCAATCCTGATAGAAGAGACAAAAAAAGACACCAGAGTCTCGCTGTAACAGCATCAGTTTCAGATTTTTCGGAGAATTTGAAATTCAAACAACGCGTGGCGTATGTTTGATGGAAAGGGAAATGGGAAAAAAGCGCTTAAATCCTTTTGAAAACAATGTCGATCCCGATTATCCTTCATCATCGATACGGAGACGTGAACATTAAAAATGCTCCGCCTCTACAGTGGCGCGTAGAAGAAAATTGGATTTTTGCGTTTCTGGAATATCGACTTAAAGCAAAAGTTAGATACATAGTTTATGTAAACTTATTTTAATGTTAATACATTCAACTGTACTTCAAAAACTACTTACTTACTTACTTATGTGAGTCGAATTTTATGTTGATTCATATATTCCGTAGTTCTTATTGATAATATCAATTTGGAATATATAACGAATATCTATAAAATACAAACAATATACAAATTCAAGTCCACGCGAAAATATTCATTCCGGAAAGACACAATCCACACATTCCTTTCGATTGAATGGTTTTCAAGCTGATTGCTTTTTTTACTCGGAGTTTTTTTACATTTTTTGTATAAGCCAACATGTTTTTTTTCGAAAATATTCGACCTAAGTTTCTTTATTGGAGTATAATTTTCGTCTTCCATTATTCATTCACAATTCAAAAACTAGCCAATTTCAGAAACAAACAACCAACATTGACAAGTAAAAAAATGCGAATTTTGTAAAAATATAAATGTCATTTTGTTTTCATCTGAAACTCTCCGTGAAGTTACCTTGATTCTTCTTCTTCTTGATGACATTGATCCAGAGAATGGCTTTTCATGTGATATTAGTAAGAACATTTGTTAATGGAAGTATTTTTCATGAAAAATCACAAATATATTTTTATTCTTTCAATATTTTTATTGGATGAATAACGTTTTCCACATGATTCAACAATTGGCTTGTTTGGAATTTTGATCAATGATTAGTATAGTATTCTGAAATGTGTCGTCAAAAAAATAATAGCTTTTTATAAAAGTGAGGTTCAATATTGTGAGTGAAAAAGTTTGCGAAACGGGCGTAGCGAGTTGAGCAGCTTCACGAATAAAATGAAACTTAGTTTTATTAATACAAATATCATACAAAATTTTTTGTACAACTATCCTGTTTTCATAATGAGATAGATTGAATTGAAGGGGTTATATTTTTTAGGAGTAATTGCTTTTTGGGAAAGAAAGTTTTTGGCTTTCTACTACTCCATCTTGATACAGGATGAGGGAATCTTCCATGGAAAGGAAGGAAGTAATCAATTTTAAAATGAGTAACTCTATACATGGATGTGTAGATCATGCAAAGAAGTAACTTTCAGACACAAACTGAAAGGAAGTCCTCCTGAAACAGCTACTTTCATATAAACATTGAATTACACGAAAGAAAAAATTCTTTCGAAACAAATACTTTTATATGAACACTGAATTATACAGAAAATACTTTTCTCTACTCAGTGAATGATATCTGATTTTTATTCCACAACGAATGTGGAATACAAACTGAGTAGAGAAAATTATCTTCTGTATAATTCAGTGTTCATATAGAAGTATCTGTTTCGAAATAATTTTTTCTTTCGTGTAATTCAATGTTTAAATGAAAGTAGCTGTTTCAGGAGGACTTTCTTTCAGTTTGTGTCTGAAAGTTACTTCTCTGCATGATCTACACATCCATGTATAGAGATACTCATTTTAAAATTGATTACTTCCTTCCTTTCCTTGGAAGATTTCCTCATCCTTGTTTTTTGTATCAAGATGGAGTAGTAGAAAGCCAAAAACTTTCTTTTCCAAAAAGAGATAGATTGATTTATTATTTCTATGAAAACACATTTTGATATATCTTTTGTCAGTTAATTATTTTCATGTAATCGCATTTGCTGTGAAGTAGCCATGTCAGGTGACGCCGAATTACCTGGTTAATAACAAACAGTATTTCTCACAACTCGAACATTTTATTCAAAGTCACATTTGAAGTTTTTGCTGGTGTTTAATGTATTGCATAATGAAGAATAATAGTGTGGAATTGTATGTTCCTGATGATATTGAAGAGCTTCAAATGAATTGTTACCAAAAAAATTGGCTCAGCAGTACGACATTGCAAATTCTAATTTTCTTAGCTAGTGTAGACTTGAAAACATCGAAGGAAATTTCAGCGAAAGCGTCTTTTTAGCCTATCTAGAAAAGAAATAAAAATATGGAGCTCGTCAACTTTGTGGAGCGAGTTTTCAATGATGAAGTCGTGTGGGCTCGTTAAGAATGGTGTTAATACAAGCAAATATTTCAGCGTATTAGCATTCTTGAAGCGAAAAAATGAAATTTATAGGCTCAAAATATCAAAAACTCTTACGTTTGAACAAGTCCAGAGGTTGATAAATGGGGTTCCAGATGAAAAATATTTGATGATAAAAGTTACTACCAATTTCGGAATATATGGAGCCTGCCGGTGTGAAGAGCTGTATCATTTATTAATAGAAGATATTAAATTAATGAATAAATCATTGATTGTTCAAATTCCAAATACAAAAACGAAAATAGGTCATCCTTTTTGCATTGTGGAAAAAAACATTGACTATTTCAATAGATACGTTGCATTACGCCATTCTGTTATCAATTATCAACGTTTTTTCCTGAAATACTCAAATTATGAATGCAGTGTCTACCCAGTTGTTATGAACACGTTTAGGAAAATGCCCTCTAGTATTGCTGAGTTTCTGAACCTCCCAGAACCAAAGGAATATACAGGTCACTGTTTCAGAAGGTCTTTCTGCTCCTTTGCTAGCAGAATCAGAAGCAAATATAACGAATATTAAAAAGCACAGAGGATGGAAGTCGATAACAGAAGCTGCGGGTTACATCTATCAATATGTTTCTTATAAAAAAGTTATTGCTGAAAGAATAATCCCAAGAGCTGGCTCCACCGTCACAGCATCGTCTTCTTCAGTTCAAGAAATAAATGTTAATGCCCATGAAATTGTCAACTCAGCTAGTTCAAATATATCACAAGGCTCTTCAACATCGCAAGGTATTGATATCAGCAGTTGTTCGAATTGTACTTGTCATAATTATTTTCATAAATAATAATAATAATGTGATCTATTGTTCATAATAAAACTTCCATCAAAATGAAATTATTATGTTTTGTTCATTGCTATTTAGTTGAAAAAAATCATCGTGTTGAAAATAATTTTAACACTGGTGTAAAAATGTTTTTAACACGCTACTTTATAAACATCATCTATTGATACCCTTGAACCATTAAAAATGTCACATTTGTTTACAGTTGTACAAAATATCTATTTTGTGGTTGCTTATCAATTTATTGAGTTCCGCTTTCACTTTCAAAGTAACTGCAATAACTTTTTTGCTCACATAGGATTTATCGGGTTTGAAATTTAAAATTTTATTTAAATTTCATCTGACTGAATATGTAGAGATTTCTTTCAGGCATCGCGATAATCTTTTATTATGATTTCAATTCTGTAAAGTCATAAATGAATGTGGTTAATGTTATTTAAAATTTAATTTTGTTCTTTTTAGGGCACTTAAATAAAAGCTTCTTTTAAAAGTTTTTTATCATTATTTTATTTTTTTCAGTTTCAATAGATAGTTATCGATCAATACAAAAGTCCATCTATAAAACGGAGAATCCTTCAACAAAAAACTCAAGGAACGGGGAAAACAATTATTAGGATAAACTATATTCTATAGAAGTAGGTAGGTACCTACTCCTCCGGCATACCTTATAGAAGAATTAACTTGTTATATTTCTTAGTCTATTCATTTCATTGATGGCGTCATTATTTCATGGCCAAGTCCCAGTTAATTTCAAACAGTCTAATCCTTTTATCAGTAGGCCTTCTATTGATGTGACTCTACTTAAAGCCACGTACGCTTGTCCGGCAGCGAAGAACTTTGAACCCAAGTATACAACAGCGTGGTCAACCATACTACCCTACATTATGTGAACTGTACGAGCCCAAAATAAAACACTTGGCAATATTCTTCGTTCAGCTATACCATGGCTGAATTTAGCTGGAAATTGCACAGATTTCGGTTGAATAACGTGGATCCCATCTTTGCCGAAGTCGATACGGACTGATGGAATGTCCGTGTCATACATTTGTGCTCTCCGGAAACAGGACTATATAATTTCTATTATATCGCCGGTGACACCATTCACTAGACCCTTAGACACATCAACATTGTATCACAACATCACCTTGGCCCCCACAAATATTTTCAACTCTTTAGACAACCCCCCAGTCTTGTTTATATCAGATGGTATGATATTATTTAAATCTGGATGTGGCATCTATTTCATGGTGGGCCTACCAACTGCCTATCATGAACGAATGCGTATACAAAACTTCGTGTCCCTGCTATTTATCGCTGAGGAGATCTCTAGTACGGAGCCAATCCTGGCAGCAGCATCAGGTCACGTTTATGATTAACATGCACTGTCATCGGTTCTGGATCAACATGCTACATTTCAGGTCAATCAGATACCGGGAAGTGTATCAAATCAAACCTGCAAGATTTGTTAACATGCATACAAGTCAAGTTAACTAAAAGCTTTTAAAAAATGAAAATACTCATCAGTCGCCTAAACAGGTTTCAGAATGTACTGTTTAAAACTGATCTCAATGATAAAGTAAGGTTATGTTACAAAAATCCCTGATGAAATTACTGAAGCAAATGAGTAATTTTCTCTTCTGTTGTTCGAGAAGAAAATGTTTAGCTATTACATCGCCTTCTTGTGAACGACTTAGTGAACGACTGTCCATCTCGTATCAAAAGCTGACTTCCCCTTTTTTCAACCTTACACAACGGCACTGCTTCTCCACACACGGTCTCCGGGGTCCCGCGAAAGTGGAGCCCTCTGTGACACTGATCGATGCAAGGATCAAAGATAAATTAGATCGGTCTTGGCGATAACACGATGCATGATGAATCTCGCGAGATAAAGCTCGGGAGATTGCATACGAGCCGTCGAATAAAGCGGAAAAAGGGTCCCGTGTTATAACAACTCCCAACAGGAAGAGGATATATCGATAGACCGGACGGCCTGAGCTATTATAGAGTTTATAATGTAATTGACGATGAGGAATTCCTATTCGAAGGTGATTTGTTTGTCTGTCTTGAAGGAGGTTCAGATTGAGAAATTGACTAATTTGTGACCGGTATTTTCTTGAAGGAAAGTGGCTCGATTTTGTGAATGATCGTTTGAAAGGGCCTTTATGAACACAAATCGATGGAAAACGTATCAAGCAGTCGTATCAAGTATGCAATATATGGATATTGTGTGTGCAAGATACAATCAGGACTGCTCTCAAGTTACTAGACCAGTAACTAAAAGTGGTATTCAAAAACTTCAAAAAAAGTCCTATGGAAACTGCTTTGGATTTTTCCTCAAATACAGTAGAAGAGTCAACAAACTTCTTTGCAGATTATCTCACCAATACTTTATACACATACACTTACCAGAAATGAAACAAAACATGGTGAATAATCCACCTGAACATTTTGTCAATGATCATCTGGGAGAGCTGGAGGGAAGGCCGTGAAAGTTGTCTCAGATTTCACAGGCACTGGTGTCAAGAAGCTTGCTTGAGATTTCATCGTCAATAATAAAGTACATTTTGATTTGATTTGATTCGATTGCAATAATTGATAGTAACGTACAGCGCCATCTGTTCGTAAATGGATCAAGCAATAATTTATAGTTACGTACAGCGCCATCTGCCCACGAATAGATCAAGAAATATCAATAAGGTTACGAACAGCGCCATCTGCCCGCGAATAGATCAAGCAATAAAGCCGATAATTCTGTCAATACGGATCCCGATCTTGAGAGTTACACACAAACATGCATACAAACAATCATGCATACATACATACAGGCGAAGCTAATATAAAGCGTGTAAAAATCGTACACAATACACAATTCACTGTTTTCGATATGGATTTCGGACGACCTACCTCACAGTCCAGGCAGTGAGCATAGTTGTCGGAGGGATAGCTGAGGGTCTTGAGACTGGGGAGTTAACAGGTCTCACACTCTGTGACTCATCTAAGGCGTTTGGCAGTATCTCTTACAAGCTGCTGCTGGCAAAACTCAGGCATTATGGGGTGAGGGGAACCTCACTGAACGTCCTATTCGACCAACAGTCAACAAGTAGTATCGGTCAACGGAACCACTTCGCTACAGCCTGATACTATCATAGCGTGCCACAGGGATCCGTTCTTGGGCCACTGTTGTTTGAAATTCATATCAATGATATATTTCATTACTTGCTTCCTTACATGTGTATTGCTTTTGCTGATGACACTCAGTTGATAAATTCGCACCATAATCGATTTCTACTCAATCAACTAATGGCGACTACTGCATCTAGATCTGAACTGTAGTTAACGACAAATAAACTCGAAATTAACAATGATAATACCCAGCACATAATGTTTCCTTCTGATGAAAACATTTCGAATGGATCCACCTTTGAACTTCTGGGGATAACTATTGATGATGAATTGAAGTGGAATAGGCAGATGAACCATCTATGTAATGAACCCGTTCATCAGACAATATTTCAGTGAATCAATTCTGTTACTTCCATTCTCATCTAGTCCATTGTACTCGAGATTGAACTTGAAATATTGAAAATCAATACCAAGGTCATGATAACGTAATATTTTTTTTCAATGAAGAAATACCGAACGAAAAAAAAAGGTTCTTTTTGAGTTGCAGGAGATATGGGGTGATGAATGCAGGCTTAAGAAACATCAGAATCTTATATAAGACATTTTTTGTTTGTTTCAACCAAAATTGTATCTTTTACAGCATCATCCGCAAAGCTGATTATCTTTTTTTTAAATGATATATATTGTTCAAGTGAATCAAGAACAGCACAGGATCCAACACCGAACCTTGAGGCACACCACAAACCACATCTTGTTTTCCACTTTCTTCTTTCTGAATCATCATGTCCTGTTTCCTATAATCCAAACATAATTCTCTCAAGTCCTCAGGAATTTCGTTTTAAACAAAAGTGACAGAAAAATGATCCTAGGCACGAGATCAATCTCAACCACCTCATCCCGTCAACGATTTTCTCGAATATATTTCCGAACGAGAAAGTTTCACGGCCAATCTCTCAATGGGTGACCGCATCCTCATCAGTTTGCCCAGTTGTTAGCGTCTCTTAATCAAGCTCTTTCATGGACTTCTCTGCTAGTTATCTGCTGTGAACCTCTCATTTTTGACAATCCTCCAATCAGCGATTCGCCGCGTCCTTTGACGACGAGACCTTTCAATAGCCACACAAACGAGAATGGATAATGGCCAGTTTCGGGAACAGATAAGTCGGGGAAATACAGAGTAGACGAAGCAAGTTTCGGAAAGCGATAACTGTTTTTCATGGCTGGGGTAACAGCGTGGAGCGGTTTGATGCGTTTATTTTGATTAAAATTGGATATTTTCTTGGAAAAAATGTTTAATACATCTTTTTAATACACTATTTCCGAATAAATTGTGTTATATACGTTGTAGATAGATAAGATAGATAGCACTTTATATCCAACAGGTGTACACATTAAAGAAAATATGACATTCAATTCAATTGAATTCACATATTACATATTCAATTGACAAATTAAAAATTATATTAATAATATAAATGAAATGCCTGTATTCAATGATATAATATTAGATTGTTTCAAAAGGATGGAATAGTCAATTGCCTTTTGGGGGTAAATACCTGTAGTGCAAAAAGACAAGAATTCAAGATCTTTTTTTGGACAGCTTCAATTTGCTGTATGTGAGAATTATAAATGGGATACCGGTGGGACACCGGATCATCGCTTTATATTCTAGTTTGGACCTCACATTAGCACATAATAGCGCGATTATTTTAATAAAAAACAAATGAGGTCCTAAATTCGAGCCTTAGGGCACTCCGGAACTGGGAGTATATGAAGCAGATTTGAAGCCATTATACTCTACATACTGTTTTTTATCGAGTAGATAATTTGACATGTGTTTCACCAAATTCGCTCAAGAACCAAATTCTGATAGACGCTTGAGAAGAATGAAGAAATCTATTTTTGGTCAAAAGCTTTTCGCATGTCTGTATGAATGACATGCGACCTGCAGTTTCCTATCCAAAGCTTCAGAGATACATTGTGAAAGACATGTAAGATTGCTTCTGCACGACTTGTTTTTTACAAACCCATGATTGAATTTTTGCGTATCAATTGGGTTATTTCGAAAGTGAATTTGCGAATTCTGGTTTTCTTCAACTCGTCAAACTTGGAAAATATTCAATCGGTGTAATTGGTGACACCTTTACAGATTCTATAATTCCCTTTGACCCTTTCAGTCCAATCTCACATGAATTATCCGCTTTAGGTCAATGATATACAGAGCTTGAACAACCTCTCTACCTGAAAACAATTTTCAGGATGAACTGAAAATAATTAAAACAGTTGCGGTTAACAACCAGAGGCTAGTTTCCCTAATGAAGGAGATGTTAACCTTTAACTACACGCGCCGGTGTAAAATGTACACCACTCTAACTAAAACCACCGCCATTTTTGAATACGAACAGTTGAGCCGCCACCGCGCCACCTAATCTTTGTTTACTATCTAAGTCATCGCCACATCCAGTATCGGTGCAGCAGCCTGATCAGTAAAATCGTTGTGTATCGAAATTAGCAGCAATCCATCGTGGTGCCTAAAATACACCACGCGTGTACTTTGTATAATGTAAGTATACATTTAATTATTGTACATATTCCTGGTCTCTGGATATATATTTTTATGTATAAATATATTTTTGATATTTTGTCATAGAATGATGGCTTTTTAGTACGTACCTATTTTTTATAATAATAAAATTCCTATCAATGTAGCTGGAAAAATGAATGCTTCTTTGTTTTTTGTTTCTAAACCTGTAAACATTTGTCAAATTGTGATAAAATGTTTGTTGAGATGTTGTTGGTATTTCCGGAAACGGGAATATGCATGTCAACGCCTTGCGAGCACGTTCCTTTCCTTGTTATTTCAATTCATGATAAGTGCAAATAATAAGTGAAAACCTATTCTAAATAAATAATAAAATCGCAAATAATTTGATTTTATTCGTTTATTTCTTTTTTAGGGATCGAGTAAAAGTAAGAGATTCAAAACGTCTCACTGATGATGAGCTTCAAGAAATGGCTCAAGCAATATTTGATAATGAGTCTGAGGAAGAAGTAGGAGGAGATGCAGATACGTCAGAGGAAGAGTTCATAGAAGAAAATGTTGATACGTCAGATGAAGAATACAAAGAAAAAAATGATCAGAGTTTGACCTCAGTAGAAGAGTTCAGCGAAGAAGATGGAGAAGGAAATAACTCACATAATACTGACCATGTTGAAGATTACTACGTGGCTAAAGATAAAAAAACTCTATGGAAGAAAAACCCTATTGTGAGTAAATATAGCAAAACGAACAAAAAAAATTTAGTAAAAATATTTCCTGGGCCAAAAACATATGCAAGATCTCTCACAGATGAGAGGATGGCATTTGAAAAATTGTTTACTGACGATATTATTCAAAATATTATTGATTGTACAAATCTGGAAATTGAAAAACTGCGACCCAACTATGAACGACAACGAGATGCAAAAAATGTTACACATAATGAACTTTTGGCTTTTTTGGGCTATTATTTTTAGCAGGCCTAAACAAGCAAAATCACACACATTTTCTTGAATTATGGTGTACTGATGGTACTGGTACAGAACTTTTTCGAGCTTGTATGGGCTGCAATCGTTTTTTGTTTATACTGACTGCCTTAAGATTTGACGACAAAAATACAAGAACCGACAGAAAAAAGACTGATAAACTTGCGCCCATTAGATTTGTGTTGGATCGATTTGCAGAAAACTGTGAGAAAAGTTACTGTCTAGGCGCTGAGATAACAATTGACGAAATGTTAATACCTTTTAGAGGAACATGTAGTTTTATACAATACATCCCAAGCAAACCAGCAAAATATGGGTTGAAGGCTTTTGTGTTATGTGATGCGCGAACTTTCTATGTAACAAACTTTGAAATATATTGTGGAAAACAGCCAGAGGGCCCCTATCAACAATTTGGGATTTGGAATCCCACAATGAAAGTTGCTAAATTAGCAACAGTGTGATGCAATGTTATGTCATTAACCGATAATAACACTTCGGCCAAAAGCAATCTAAAGTCGCCTTTTCACAACTATAGCATAAATAATTTTGAGCTATTTGAGCTCAAGTTATGATAATATCTCAAGTCAACCGTGATAAAGATGTATATCAATAAATAAATATATTAGTTTCCAAAATCAAAGTTAATATTCAATCAAAAGTGCACTTACCTAGCCCTAGACATTCGAACCACGGAGCTCAGCAAGAAAGACAATTAAATTATCAAATCTTGGAAACTGAAACGTGACTCAGTCAGAAGAGAAGGAAATTTCAACTATTGCATCTGATGATGCAATAGTTCGACATGTAAACGAGGTCACACGAGTGTCCAGGTTTGGACCATAAACAGCACAAGAAACTCGTTGAAATTAATGGGTATTGCACAATTCACGGATGGTTGGTTACTCAGCAATTTCTTTGTATATCATCCTGTTGCGAAATAACTATAAACAATTCGATAATGTAAGCCAGTGGCCTTCTCACGTACACCAAGATATGAGTAGGGATAATTAGACCAACTTTGATGGCAGGGAGAGATGTTCAAATAAGCCAATATCGTTCAGAGTGAAGGAAGAATCGAGTTAGGAATCACACGTTGAAAGGTAAGACCTCGTTAATCCTTAGCTCGCACAAGTTTCGACTTCTGAGGGTTGTCGTTCGTAGGGGTGCGGTAGCTGGTTAACGGAAAAACAGATTTTTAAACAGAAACAGAAGAGTCGAGTCGAGTCAGAGTGAATAATCAGACAAAGAGAGTTCAGAGAGTCAGAACTAGATTAGATTCTAGTTTCAGTTAGATATCCATGTAGCTATAAATAGTAAAAGATGAACCAATTGAATAGAGATTCAATTGGAGATTCCTAAAAAGTGCTGAAAGTATAAAGTTGCTGTGTTCCGAAAGTTCGATAGTCTACGGCGAGATGCGTAAGTTTTTGAAAACAAACTGTAATTTTAGTAATAGACTTGTAATGTAATATAACTGATACTCATATGAAATGTCTCATGCTTCATGTATTGAATGAATTTGTGTCCTCTTAGATTGTGCATGAATGTAAACGCATAATATAGCTATATATATTGAACTGCAAAAAAATAAAACCAAGAGACACGTCCCATCCATATTTAAGATCTGTGCGATCTGCTGTATAAAGTTTAACTTTTGTTGAAGTCATAAAATGACCGCTCGAAATAACATCTATCCAACCATATACATATACAGCGGGATCGTCACAGCGTCTAATCTCAGAGGCGGCTTTTTTCAAAGCGACTGCAAGCTAGCAAGCAGATATCCGCAATGATGGCATAGCAAAATTGTACGGTACGTTCATCCACATGTCTTGAATCAAATTCCTTACAGTAGCCGAACGGCGCCTTTCGGTAAGGCATCGGTAGCTTTGTCTCGAGCGGCGTCTTGTTTGTATCAGCTTAACAAAGTACGCCAATCATTTGAATGAAGAAATTGTACTGTGTTGGTATCGCAGAACACACTTAAAGTATGGCTGTTCTAAATTATTTTTCAGACACTCAGGAAATTATTTGTATAAAATGGTGACGTAACACTTTGGCAAAAGTATTTTTTCAACTTGACCGAAGTTAAATAATAATTTGTGAATCACATCATCAGAAAAGTCTGAGGTATAACTGGATTTTCCGCTACTTTAGTTATGTTTCAAGTTTTAAAGAAAGATATCAATATTCATTCACATATTCGTTGATATTGTTACAATAATCTGAATACATAATAATTTTCAAAGTGAGTTGATTGAGACGGATTTTTGGTAGATGGAACCCTTAGGAAAACTCTGCAGAAATAGGTACCAGTGAGGTGAATCATTTCATACATATCTGATTTCCAAAAAAATTTTTTTGCGCAGTCTGTCAGAGTCTGTTAGGATATTCATGAGCCTCGCGCGAATTTTTTATTGATGGACAGAGCATATCCGAGAGCAAGTCTCGAACGAATCCAGTTCGAAAATACTCGTACATCCTTTCAGCCAGTCCTGCTCTTTAATTAAATCCAAATTAAGTATTCTCTTTATGGATTTTGCAATTTCCTTTGCGAGAAGGACTGAGCGAGGGATAATAGAAGCGTTGGAGAGGCGGCCGAATGAACGGGGAGGGAAAGGGGGATATGAAAGCAAGATATCCAAACCTCGGGCGAGTGGAGCACATTGTCGCTAGTAATTTGTAATTATCTCTGATAATTATCTCGATTTTGCTTTCTACGGCCTTCCACGATTGAGTTAAAAGTACTCCCGAAGCGGCCGGAATGTTTTAAGATTAACTTCGAATTATTATCATGGTTTCGCACTTGATTAGGATTTCTAAGAAGAATTCAGCTTAGCTCATCTGAATATGTTTTTTTGTCTAGTTTCAAGTCATTCGAAATGGAACATGAAAACAGGTGTATGACATACAGTGCATTTCTGTAATGTATCCCCCCCCCAACTCAAGAAATTGAAATTTGGGATGATGAAATTAATGCATGAATACTTTATTTTCAAGTGAAATTGACATATGCAACTTTCAAGAAGGCGACTGAGTGCCATCTGGAAAAAAAATAAATGGAGAGGGGGATCTTGTGATACATCTTATCAAAGCTAATGGCAAATGCTTCACATCGCTAGAATATGAAGTCAATATCTCTACCTGCTACAAAATGGCGGAACATTTAATAATTTCCTGAAAACAAACACAATAATATCGATATTTCTAGAAATATTCCTTTTCATCTGCCATATGGCAATTTCAACAACAGTATAACGTTTATTGAATTAATTTTCGTTTATAAACACGACAAAAAATGTCGGAACGACAATGAACATCATTGTTCAGTTAGAATATTCTCAGTTAGTTTTCGGTTCTACTAGTAGAAAGGTACCACGTCAACAATCTCTGTAAGTCAAGTCCATTGGAAAAAAAGTGAAGCGATTTTCATTTACGGTGCGACACATAACTTTCACGAGACCGAAAGGATTTTCAATGAACGTTTCCCGAATCGTCCTATCTGAAGAAAATATTTGAGGGAACTTGTCTCCAAATTCACAACTACCGGTAGTGGACGTAACAAAAAGCTCCCAGGTCATCCGTTCATTCCGTAAGAACAGCAAGTGCAAATAATTGGTGAGATGGTAGTAAATCCTGAACAGTCTACTTATTCCGTCGCGAATGTTTGTGAGGAATCTCCTTTTACTGTGTGGAGACTTTTGAAAAGGAATAGGTAAAAGTACATAATTATGGAGTATTAAGGCGTCTATCATATTTAGGAAAATTTGCAGCTATACAAGGAAGTTGAGCGATATAGAAATTTTTTAGAAGATGAAAAGGTGTTTATAGATTGGAAATATATACAGGCTGATTCACGGTGGATGGCACATTAGACGTTTCTGGTGAACCAGACAACGGATCACTTTGAAAATTTGTTGGAGGGCATATTCGGACATTCTCTAGCCAACTAAAATATTTTCGACAATGCGGTGTTGCCGCTTCTATTAGAAAGCAGTAGCAACTGTGATTTTTCAAATGGAACACTCTGTATATAATATTATTTTTGGAA